GACACGCAGCGTTGACAATAATCATAATGACGCATACGAACGAACTTTACACTGTTTGAGTTTAGTTTCACAGTATAAGCGATCCCGCCAATGCATAGTATAATTTTGGCGCTATTTTTTAATTGTAACAGGGGACTGCTCAAACATTTAATTTGAGCGCCTTTTTTTAAAAAAAATTCAACAAAGCTGTAGGCTGTCAAATAGAAAAAGCACTAGCTCATTGGAGACCAGGGGCGTGCTGGGCCGCCGGGACACCGGGAGAAATCCCGGTGGGCCGGTGGTCTGCAGGGCTAAGTGGGCCTGTGTGCCGGAGGGCTATGTAGGCAGCATGCCGCAGCACGTGGTCAATTAAAAACTTTTTTAGTTGAGTTATGTATAAATATCATAATTATTTTACACATACCATGCATGCCAGCCTGCCAGCTTTGTTTCTTTTTTCGAGATTGTATATTGTTTATAAGTTTCCTGAGCGATGATAATTTGTATTAGTTTTTATTTTAAGTGTAATGCTATATGTTTTAGCATTGTGTAAAATATTGTCTGGTTGTGTTTGTTGCCTGTTTTTTTTTTCAAGAATTTAATTTATACTTTATGTTATTAATTATTAATAAATGTTTTCGTGTGTAGTTGGCCGATTTTTCTGAATTTCCCGGGCCGGTATGATATAGCCAGCACGCCCCTGTTGGAGACAATAAAATATGAAATTTATTTAATGAAATATTTTAATAACAAAAAAATGCTTAACTGTAACAATTTAATAAAACAACAATGTTTTAATTAACAATTTTTATTACTAATTTATTACTAAATGTTTAAAGTAGTTTCAATTTACATTCAAGCATTTCTTAATTTTTACTTCTACATTAGACGTTGCTACTCTTGACTAACTGACTGCTATTTTTTATCAGTAGGTATTTCGTTTAAAAAAAATTAGTTAGTTAACAAATTGTTTATAACAACCTGAAAAATTGACGCCATTAAATTTTGAACAATTACAAATTACGTGGTAATCATAGACAGGTTTAATGATACAAAATAATATTTAAAATTTTAGAAATTGTTAAATATCTCTGAAATATTAACTTTAGGTATAGGGAATAGTAACATCAATCGAAAGGTTTTTTAATTTACTATTTGATTATGTAAAAACATACCGTGTGTTACATTTGAAATAAAAAAGTTATTAACCTTTAAGTTGGCCTAATTTGCCCTGATTTTTTTAGGTAATTTGTTAAATAATGTTAAAGAATTGAAATGGAATCTTTTAAAAAATGTTTTAAGATTCTAAAAACTTCAACGCTATATTTGCAAACCTGATAACAAAAAAGTTATAGGGTATTTTTGATTGACGAGCATTTTTTAAATTTAAACGAAAAAATCAAATCGATATCATTTTTCGTTCCCCAGAAACTTCAAATGGACCACGAATGATATATTTATATAGCTAAAATATTATTATTTTGACCAAACTTACAGTCTATTTTTTAAATGTTTTACATTGCGTCATCAAATTAAAATGTCAAAAACCTGTTTTTCGACATAGGTCCGGCATAAATCCCAAGTACAAAACAGCAAATTGTAGTGTCTGTGCTTGATTTACAAATTGGTGATGCAAATTGATGACTCAATTAAACATTTAAAAAATAGACAGGGTGTTTCAATAAAAACTCCCAGGCCAATTATTTCGAAAGCTAAAAGTGAAATTTAAAATATAAATATATAAAACTTTTATATATTTTTTTACATAGGTACACAATTCAAGAAAGTTCAATTTATAACTTTTGTTAGCTTTTTTTTAACAATCCCCCCATACGGGTTAATTGTATATGGAATTAACCTCTTGTAATGATATTATACCAGCCCTATTATATCGAAAACCATAATATTATATCGAAATAAAAACAAGATAATTTAATAACGATTTAAAATAGCTGCCCCAGAATTGCAATGTCATTGATGGAAGTAACCTTGCCTCTGACTAATTGTCAATAACAGAAGCAAAAAGTATTTTCTCCGTACTCGTTCTTAATTAAGTTTGAAAATATCCAAGAAATATTTTAATTATTTCCTAATTATTAATTAGGAAATTAATTAAAACGTATTGTGTTTAGATGTTACTTTTAGTGAAATTGTGCCCGATCGGATTTGGCAAACGCAAATTTAACGTTGAATTTTGCGCGAAACAAAAAATCAACTTAAAAACTGCAGGTTTTGTGTCAATCTAGAGTTTTATTTGCGTTTAGTTTTAAAATTAAATTAAATTAACCATATAGAAACAAACACTCTATGGTTGTAGCTTACTCAGAATTTGGTAAAACACAAAACCAACTTAACACGAGCAATCTACCATATACCTAATCACAGATATAGTGACATACAGTGTTGTGATTTTTGCAAATATATGAACCCAATTTGGCAACATTGACGACATATAGACTTTGATAGAAAGAGAATGAACTAAACTTTTTGTCAATGAGGGGGTAGGAATACGAGAACTCGACCAACGATCGATATAATTTAAATTACATTTAAGCAGAGATAACCCTCTGATAGGTTAGGTTTTACAAAAATATACAGACATAAATTTTCAATTTTTTCCCTTTTGCCTGGGTAATTAAATATAAATGTATGTATGTTGGTTGCCTATAAAATTCCTAGTTTTAATTAATTGTGGTAAAATTTTCAATAGTTCGTGAATACCTACAAATATCTATAAATACCTATGTACAAAAAAACTAAGTTGAAAAACGACGGGAAATCGAGTGACACCCCTTGACCTTTTCAAATTTGAAAATATCTACGTACATGTACAAAACAATTAATTTGAAAATATCGGTTGTCACCCCTTGCCCCCCCTCAGAAACTCATTTTTGTTGGGTACATATAATTCAATACAGCCCACGGTTTAAATAAAAACCCGCCCCAAACTTCCGTTGTTATTTATGGAGTTAAACACAAATCAACACAAAATCAACGTTATTTTACCACTACAAATTTGCTAGAGTGGTTTTAAAGGATATACTGCTTTCAAAATTTGGGGATACCGGGTCTATACTTTTGGTGAAGGTATACAAAAAATATGCTTTTAAGGAAATATATTAAAAATTTATTGATTTGGTAAATGAATTTTAATTATATTTATTCAAAAAAAAAAGTTATTGTACACTAGCTGAATACCGTGGTTCTAAGAAAAAATAAGGGGCCATCTAGTGGAAGAGCAGTAACGCAATAAAGTCATTTCATCTAAAAGGTTTATGCGGTCATTTACTTTAGGAGTTAAAAGGTTTCCGGGTTTCAAGCTGCGTCTTATAGTAATTCGATTTAACCTTTCGACAGCCATGTTGCTGTCTTGTTGCCCGGGCATTTAATATATCCCATGTTCCTGCAGGAAAGCAGCAGAATGGCGAATCATTAGTACCAGGTAGAGGTACATAAAGCACGAAGAAAATATAAACAAGATCGGCGGTTGCAGAACACTTCCTGGACACTGGGCATTCTATAAAGTTTGACCAAACTACAGTCTTATCTAGATGTAATAATTTTTGGCCGATACTATGCAGAAAATCTATAGAGATTCAAAGATTCCCGAACTTCAACAGACAATGTGATCGAATTGGCCCCCTTTTGAAAGAACATGTTTCGCAACACTGGTTCGGCACGAACTAGTGGACACGAAATCACGGGTGAGCACACAACAACTGTGAAATCACCCACCGGTAGGCATCAACCAGCGAACCGAAAAACACCTACCTATATAAAGACAACAGTCGATCCAGTTTCAGTTTTCTGGGGAAGACAGCAACATACCTGTCGAAAAGTTAAACCGAATTACAATGGGACACGGCATTAAACCCGGAAACCTTTTTTATTCTTAAGAAATAACTATCAATCTATGTTAGTGAATCTGGAATCGAGAGTCAGGAAGTACATTTGCGGTTATTTCACTAATCAATAATGTAGTACCTTTTTCACTTTCAAATTCGTCACCGGCTCCCCCGACTATATGTATCAAAGTGGTTCCCCAATCTACGACTTACGACCACCGCGGCGGTAAGATTAATTACAAGCCCAGGACATGTAGGTAACTACTGTGAAATTTTTATATTACTAAAAACTACCTTTTTGCACTTGAAACTACCGATACAATTATAATTATGATTATTAAGAAGTTTACCTAACATCTAAAATAAATTTAATTTTTGGATAAAACAAAGAATGGCGCGAAAAAGTTAATAAAAATTCAAAAAAAGTCAAAAATTATTATTATTATTTAGATATGCTGCTTCGGGATGTCAGTCAATAATTAATTAGTGTGAAATTTTTTGAAACCTCGGTGAAATTTTTATTATTATCAACAAAAACCCTTGAACCCTCGTAGAATAATTTTTAATTTTTAAAAATAAAGAATCTTAAAGGTAATCAATATTTTTGTACTTTTTTTAAAAAGTCAACAGTCAGTGTTGAGTTTAACCCCCTTAGTGGATTAAAAGTAGCCAATGTTGGTCTCTGAAAAGTCCTCTACCTGCCAATAAAAGTCCTGTCAAAATCGATTCAGCCGTTTCAGAGATTAGTCCGAAAAAACATTTCAACACAATTTTATTTATATTTATTTATATGTATAGAATATTGTAAAGGTAAAAGCAAAGTATTATTCTAAGTTTGTTTTCAAATGTAAGTAAAATATTATATAAAATGTAATGCTTAGCTTTTATGTAAAAATCAAACAAAAAAAATACAAGTAACTCAGTAAGCTCAGGAGCATTTTTACCAATTGGTAAAAAGAGCGGCATTTTAAAGGGGCGTAAATTTCTACACATTTTTCTGTATACATTATCGTAAATGTGACTGTAGCAAATATATTATCTTAAAAATATAGCACACATTTTAGTAGGTATTAATATAATAATACTATAATAATACTAATATTTAATAACTTTAAAACTACACTGGGGTGTAGATATACAGTAGTTTGTTTGTGAAAACTATAAATTTGGACTTACCTAACTACTCGATGGGTACACACAATAAACTCAGGTTTAGAATTCCATTGATGATAGGTTATATAAAACCTAGTTTGCAGCCAAATCCATTGCTGTCCCTTTGTCAGGAACCTATAGAAGCAGGATGTGCCTTCTCCTTTTTGCATTAAAGATGCATGACAAACCACAACTTTGTCCAGGTCATCCACGTGGTAGTAATCATACCCCGAGGTACCCAAAAGTTCGAATGGTAAGTATCCTATGATGGGTGGCGCCCTGTGGTCGAGAAAAAGGAATTTCCATTCCAAACTGTGTCTGGAAGTAAATTCGCTTTTTGTTGAATCCACTAGTGGCATTTCTTTTATTAATTGAGGTGTTTGTATTCGTCCCGTTCCGACAAAGACTAACCTATAATTAATAATAAGAAGAAAATTGTATACAAAATAAAGCTATAGAATAAAATATAATATAATACCTAGTATCGGCGTCACCAGAGTATCCGCTATACCTATTTTCTTCCTGAACCATATCTTCATCTGATCCTAAAAAATGTATTAACTTTAATTATTCTAATTATTCAAAAATGACTAATTTAATAGTTATTAGTGGCTGCTTTTTCACTTGTACCTTGGTTAACCATGGTATCCCAAAATTTAACAGCCAATACTTATGTAAAATTGTCAAAAGTAGAACAGTTTTTGAGATATAGTCAATTTCCCATTTAATATGTAATTGACTATATCTTAAGAACTGTTCCACTTTCATAATTTTTGACAGTATTTTTGGATTCAGGGGACAATTTTACATAAGAATTGGCTGTTAAATTTTGGGATACCATGGTATTCCATGGTTAACCATGGTACAAGTGAAAAAGCAACTACTAATAACAATTAATTTAGTCATTTTTGACTAATTCATTATTAGTCTTGTTATGGAAACTAACGCCCGTTTAAAAAATGTTGGAGAATATTATATAAATGATTTATAAACGTATATTAAATATACATCACTATACAGGGTGTCCAAAAATATGTGGGCAGTCTCAGGTGCGTGCTGGGGTGATTTTAGGGCCCGGGAAATAATTCCCTTACAGGGCCCCTTCCACGCCATAAATCTTATGTTATTTGTGTTAATTAAATTTTACATCGCGTGCTGGCCGTCACTACTCACCATTAACCAGGGACTGGTTAACGCGTTTCTACATTATTACGGTAAATTCATATTGGGTAAAAAGTTGAAATAACAATATTGTACAATATGTATTATATTAATAATATATTGTGCAACTTCTCGGAGAAAGGGGAGATTCCTCCTGTACTGACATATAAAACTGTCAGACAATTTTAACCTCATTTTTAAGTGGTACGGGTGACTCACGCAGCAAAGTCAATCAATTATATACACGATGAAGAATATATATTTCTTGCAGTAACTAAATAAAATATTGTTTGCGACTTTTCGCGTGTTACTAACTTTACGTTCGAGCAATGCTCTTTCTCCCACCAGTCGCACAATATACTAATATTTACAAAATTATAAGGGAACGATAACGCCAGATTCTATACTATACGTATGATATGTATAAACTTTCTGTATAGTAAAAACTACAACGACATATTGTTAATAATGTGTGACAACATTATATTGTTATTGTAACCAGGTAATCTTATAATTTTAACCATATAGTGTAGTACTAACAGTTTAGCCGTACATGATGGTTGTAATAGCCTAATCAAATATCTAACCTTACGAAATTTTTATAACAAAATGATTAGAGTACATATAACAAAACTAATTTTTCGTATATTGTTATTACAACCATAAGTTGTTCTGGCGGCTAGAAACGTGGTTTTATTTATATACAAGCACTCAAAGAAAATATATTGTAATCCCTAACAATATAGATTTGTTATGCAATATATGGTTTATTTAATTATAACTTATGGTTGCAATAACAATATACGAAAAATTAGTTTTGTTATATGTACTCTAATCATTTTGTTATAAAAATTTAGTAAAGTTAGATATTTGATTAGGCTATTACAACCATCATGTACGGCTAAACTGTTAGTACTACACTAGATGGTTAAAATTATAAGATTACCTGGTTACAATAACAATATAATGTTGTCACACATTATTAACAATATGTCGTTGTAGTTTTTACTATACAGAAAGTTTATACATATCATACGTATAGTATATTTAACCATATAGAGGGTTATAAGGTATTTGCATATGATTATTATAACTAAATAAATTATTGTTTTGTGCAGCAACAAAAATATAGTTAAAGTGACAATAAAACTGTTACAATATAAACATGGTTAACATAACAGTAAATATGGCGGTGCCTATACTAATCAGAATATTTAGTAAAAGTTACTATATATTCGATTAAGATAACCATTGTTTTTTCTCAGTGAGGTTTTGTTACAATAATAGCTAACTTAAATTTATCGCGATCGTGGGGCCCCTTGTGGCCAATTTATGAGGGCCCACCGGTAGTGATGCCGCCGATACGAGAGATTCTCGCCTCTCGTCTCGTCTCGTCTCGTCTCGACGAGACGAGAGGGCGATTTTCTCTCGAAAAAAGGCTCGAGACGAGACGAGAGAATGCCCTCTCTCGCTCGAGAATTTCTCGTTTCTCTCGATCTCTCTCGTTCTCTCGATTATAAAAAACATTTTTTTTTTACATAAAAATTATAATTTTGCACATAAATGACGATATTTATTTGGACCAATGAGAACATTATTCGCATTTCATAATAAACAAAATTTGTTCCTGGTTAACGTTTTATTATTTTATAACACAACTTAACGTTAACCAAGAAAAAATTACTTATAAAATAATAATAATTTTTAAAACTTACCCTGTATAAGCACATCTATGGCACTCCTTATACTATTAAAAAAAACCGTATGCTTAATAAGCATTGCTTATTCAATAAACTTATCAACAACATGTGGTTTTTGACGGCCTGATTACAAATTTGATATCCATTTTTTTTAAATAAAATGGCTGATCCAATATGACGAAAATTCGTCGTTCGGCTTTAATGGTTTGGGTAAAATTTAGTATTCAGATATTTATGGGGTCCCTGATTCAGAATTTGATATCCATTAAAAAAAAAACAAAATTGCAGATTCAAAATGACGGACATGCGCAGTAGGTACAAGATGGTTGGATCTATGTGGAGTAGTTACATCATATATGCGCAGTAGTTTTCAGATGGATGGATCAAATGATTTGATCCATTGAAAACTACTGCGCCGATACAGGCTGTTTCTTTTAACTTGAGACAGCTCAATATCTCGAGAAATACGCATTTCACGGAAAAATGTTTTAAATAAAAGGTTAATGGGACCAAAGGGGGCATTATTTGGTACTACCGCTAGCCACCCCCTACCCCTCCTTAAGGGTGAAACGGGGGGTAACTTTGGAGAGTCAAATGGGATAACCTTTTTTTTTACAGATTTTGGTAGTACATACAAAAATTAATAACTTTTTTTTAAAACTTTTTTTCAATTTATCAACAGATAGCGCTGTAATTCAAAATTTAAGAAAAATGGGTTTCCCTGTAAAATGTATTATTTGAAACGTTTGAAAAACAAAAATTAACATTAAATCAACAATAGTCGGCTCTGAAAACAATTTATAACAAATGTTCGAAATGTCGTCCTTCCATTTCGACACCAGCGTCCCTGGTCGGCAAACGTTTGGTGCGGTACCTTTGGCTAACGGCATTAAATGGTGAAAATTACCGGAATTTTCTAGAAAACGATCTGCCAGACTTCTTCCTGTGGGGTTACTTGAAAGAAAAAGTTTACGCTGCAATTCCTACATTCAAAAATTCATTACCCGCATTCAAAAATGTGTCGAAATGAAAGGATGACATTTTGAACATTTGTTATAAATTGTTTTCAGAGCCGACTATTGTTGATTTAATGTTAATTTTTGTTTTTCAAACGTTTCAAATAATACATTTTACAAGGAAACCCAATTTTCTTAAATTTTGAATTACAGCGCCATCTGTTGATAAATTGAAAAAAAAGTTTCAAATAAAAGATATTCATTTTTTTATGTACTACCAAAATATGTGAAAAAATCGGGTCATTCCATTTGACTTTCTAAAGTTACCCCTCGTTTCACCCTTAAGGAGGGGTAGGGGGTGGCTAGCGGTAGCACCAAATAATGTCTCTTTTATTTAAGACATTTTTCTGTGAAATGCGTATTTCACGAGATATTGAGCTGTCTCAAGTTAAAAGAAACACCTATTATAGGTGTATAATACTAGATGTAACTACTCCACATAGATCCAACCATTTGATTCAAATGCGCAACATTTTCGGCGTAAAAAGTCTTACTTTATTAGTGTGGTCTTGGCACACATTTTTTTTATTTCCAGTTTAAATTTCTATATTAGTATTTCACGAGATATTGAGCTGTCTCAAGTTAAAAGAAACACCTATTATAGGTGTATAATACTAGATGTAACTACTCCACATAGATCCAACCATTTGATTCAAATGCGCAACATTTTCGGCGTAAAATGTCTTACTTTATTAGTGTGGTCTTGGCACACATTTTTTTTTATTTCCAGTTTAAATTTCTATATAAAAAAATATAAACGAATTTGTATTTCATTCCAAATAATTTTTGTATTCATACTTAGGTACTTTTACCACGAGAGAAACGAGACGAGACGAGAGAATGACTTTTCTCGTCTCGTCTCGTCTCGTCTCGCGGCATCACTACCCACCGGGAAACTCCCGGTCGCCCGGTGGGCCAGCACGCGCCTGGGCAGTCTCCCGGATTCAAATAGAACACAGAAAAAAGTTGAATGTTCATTTGAGTACATCACAAAAACGTTTAAACATAAGTTTTTTTTTCTATACCTAACGTAAACCCAGAGTTTGGTTTTGTTTGCAATTATTGTTACAAAATTAGAACCGTAACAAAGCGGGGTTGTTGCAACCCGTTGCCACAATCACACCGCGCTAAAAAAATTAATTTTTGTATTACACAATAACGATTACACATGTTTTTCACATTTTTTTCTGAAAGGTATGTGTTTTTATATTCTTGAAAGAAAATTCATAAAATGTGTGTAGAAAAAAGTTGAATGTTCATTTGAGTACATCACAAAAACGTTTAAACATAAGTTTTTTTCTATACCTAACGTAAATCCAGAGTTTTATATTGTTTGCAATTATTGTTACAAAACTAGATCCGTAACAAAGCGGGGTTGTTACAACCCGTTGACACACTTACACCGCGCTAAAAAAATTAATTTTTGTATTACACAATAGCGATCACACATTTTTGAAAAATGATTTTTCTTCTGAAACGTATGTGTTTTTATATTCTTAAAAGAAAATTCATAAAATGTGTGTAGAACAAAGTTAAATGTTCATTTGAGTAATTTTTTTAATTAAAAATAAACAATGCAACATTTCATATTTTTTATTATTTTACTGCAAAGAATATTTATATATTGATACGTAATTTAATTTTTACCCAAATCTACTTCATCGTTCGTAAGGAATTTGGGACCACATTTTTCTAATATACCCTGTATAAATACGAATTGAGTTTTCAATACAATATTTGTGGAATATATATTTTACATTAAGTAGGTACCTATAGGTACCTACAGTATACTGGATTGCCTTAAAATATTATGACATTAATGTAAAATAAGTTTTTACCAATTTTTATTAACATGGTGAAAACCCTACGCTTATTTTACGAATTTTGACTTAATAAACGGAAAATTGACTAAAACTGCATTTGACGGATTTTTAAAGAAACGGGAAAATGATTACGATAGCATCCAAATTAACCCTCTGCTCCCAGTTTTTGTCGTGATTTTTTTGTGATACCTAATACTTTTATTTTAGCTCAGCAGCCATCTTAAGATGCAATTGCAAAACGTTTTTTCATTTAAAATATGAATGATAAATTAAGGGCCTTTGTTATTTTACCAAGTTTATGTGTGTGATCGTTTTATACGAAACGATTGATTTGTTTTATGTAGTGATTATTAAAAAACTACTCGCATCTTGGAGATTTAATCAATTTTTTGTCACTATAAATCATTGCAGATGAGGTTCTGTTATTTAAATTAGCATTTTCCATGTATTTCATAAAATTATTTTTTATGAAGTTGTCCAATGGCCTTTCTATAAATTGTTTATTAACACTTGGACTAATATATAGTATATTCTGTAACAAGTTTGGAATACAGCATATTCCGCTCGAGTTTGTCACACGAGCCGAAGGCGAGTTTGAAGGCAGAAGTCTTACTCGACAAATTTTGTTTAATTGCACAGCTAAATCGCGCACGTTATTTGTGTTTTACGTTGCAAGGAAAAAAATAAAAAACTTTTTTAGTCCTCGATTTCGATTGATTATTCCTTATATCATTCATTAAGAAACTCAACGCTTAAATGCTTATATAGTTAAGTTAGTGCTTGTATTTTATTAAAGGGATCATGGTGAATTATTTTGTTTTTAATTCTAAATAAAATTCAGGAACTTTCCAAAGGATCCAATTCGGTAAGTACATTTGTTGGTGCAGAATTAACTAATGAAAACTTTACCTAATATAATTTATATTTAAGTTTGAACATGTTTAAGAAACTACTAAAAAATAATTTTTGCACAAACATAACCTTAAAATCAACAATTTTTACGTTTAAGTTCTCTAAAAAACGCCGACAACTGCATTTTAAACAACAAAATATACCTACGAATTCATGGCAACATAATATTATATATAATACATAATATAATGGTATTTTACCGTTGAGTGGAGACTTTCTTAATCAACGCTTTTAATAATGCTAAATGATGTTTAAGTTTAGACGACTTATTTGTTTGACGATTTTTACTGTATTGAAATGTTTACCCTTTTCACGTTAATCACTACTAAAAGGTATATTGTGTTACCGAAAAACACTCGATAAACTTCACGAAAAATATGATATTTCATGTTTTTGAGAAAATATTTCGTGATAAAGAATTAAAAACTATAAGTCATCATTTACTATAGTATAAATATATTTGAAGTTGAACTTTAACCTCAAATAACTTTTAAGTCGACTACGCAAAAAATCATATCAGATCTTTTTTGTAGATCGTTCAATTCCCTACAAGAATATGTATTGATTTCTACAACTCACTGATTCGTTAAAACGCAATAAAATTACAAACAAAAAATTGTTTTTTTCGTGTTATTTAAATGGAAAATAAAAAATCGCGATGCGCCACCGCTAACTATTAATATTAAGAGCTCAAACTCTATGAGAATTTTTTTTTCGTCATCTTGGACGATATTTTCATGGTAACTAAAGAAAAAAAAATTAAAAGTTTTTTTTGGCCCACCCTACTATATACATATTTGGTCAATGGTGGTCATTTTTGGATTCAGCGTAATCAAATTACCCCAAAACATTTTGGCTAGCTTGCAGAAAACAGAAAATTTTGTCGGCCTGTGATATTATACTGCACAAATAAATGCAAGTGGAGATTAATAAATTATAATAATTATCGATCTTGAAAATGGCATTGAACAAGTCCGGTCTATAAATTTAAAAGTAACGGTTCTCCAAGAACATTTGACATTCCAACACGAGAAAAATAACGGAGAAAATATTTAAAAAAATGCTCTTTAAACAATCCTTAACCTTAACAGGTAAAATAATTCAATTGCAACAAGAAAAGCAATTGATAAAATTTATTTACAGGTGTTGTGTTAAAAGTAAGAAAAAAACAATTTATACTAATTTAATTGTGTAACTTTATTTGTAGAACAAATTAAAGTTATTACCTCATATGCAAAATGTGTTGTTAATCTGAAATTTTTGTTTATATGCACTAATGGTTAGTGCAGAAACGTTTATCTTGTAAGTGTTTTATTTGCAAGATGTATTTTGATTATAAAACATGCAAACATAATTTGCATTTAATTTAAATAAAACGTAAATGTTTATAATATATTCCAAAGCAATAAAAACACTTTTTAATCAAACAATTTATGAATTTTTAGGTATTAAAAATTCATTTATACATGCATATTTATACTTATTCCTCCGCCTGTCAAATACTCTAATTACTCCCGTTTTTTTTTGGTAAGTATAATTATAATACTTACTACTACTTACATACTCAGATAAAATTTACTTTTTATTTATGTAAAATTACAAGGGTGCACGGCCGTGATGTATTTATTTATTAAAAAAAATATGTAATAAAAGTTTTACTTACTAAAGTATCCTACGAACTGAACTGACTCATAACAAGGAATTTTCGAATTGTATCCTCCCCTTCGAAGGTGACATGAAAACGTAACTTGTCTTTCTTTCTCGGACGGACTTAGTAAAATGTTGTATAAATTTGTTTGTTCATCCTCACAAGCCAATTCGTATATTGTCATATTTAATACTTCACTCTAAAAAAAACTTTTAAACTCAACTCAAAAAATATATTTGCAAACTAACTGGTAAATGACCCAGCAGCGAAGTAATGCTCTCTGATGCGTAATATATTTGACCAGATGTAGAAAACACCATTATAAAACCATCTACAGCTTCTAAAATTAAATGTGTAAATTCTTCGTTGGTTAAAAAAGTCGGTTTCCAGTCTTCTTGAATTTCGTTTACCCGCGAACGAACAGTTAAATCTAAAACAAATGTATAAGCTATAATAAATAAAATGAAATAACTCAATATCTATTGACTCACTAATATACATTCTTATAGTGTACCTGTTAACGTTATTATCCAAAACCCATTGGTATGCATAATAACTTATAATAAGGAACCAATCGTTCCAGCTAAACTTGGGTGGCTCATTGTTTCGTTGGTTGATTAAGTCGGTTTCTTAAGTTATTATGCATATTAACTGAAATCTTGTTATTTCTCATGCTAAATTAAAAACAATACCATGTTAAGCCGGGTCTACAATAATTATTGTCGCAGGGGTCCGATCGCAGAACATAAGCTTGCGCAAAGCACCCCGCGACGTGGCGATGGAGCAAGGTTCTTTTGTCAGCTGGGTGCTTTGCGATCTGCGACCTGCGAAAATTGTAGACCCGACTTTACTCAGTAGCGTAACTACACCCCCGCTAGATAAACACAAGAGGGTATTAAATAAAATAAAAATAAATTTTGCACTTTAATGTCTTGCCGGTTAATAAACAACAATAATTTTTCTATTACACTAATAGGAATCTTAATTAAAAACCTTGATATGATTATATTAAACACTATGTTTACGAAAATATTATTTTTAATTTAGAAGTGAACACTAATGATAAAAAATGGAAGAGCTTCTAGAAAGTTATTGGATTAAGCAAAAGAAAAACATCCTAAAGTTTTGTTATCTAATGTAAAACCTGATTGTTTTGATAATTGCATTGCATCGATCTCAAACGTTGTTGAAGATCAAACTCCCTCCACGAGGGGCGCGTGTGTTGATTCAATTGCAAGACCAACTTAATGAAGAAGACCAAGAAGACTTACTAATTAATGTAAATAATGCCGTTCTCCTTTTTAACAACAAGTTGTCGAAAGATCATTTTTTACCAAAATCGCCTCTCTCGAAATTGGCGAGCATATTACGACTTTACAGAAGGGGTTTAAAGCTTTGGGCGTAACCGAGGGCTTACAAATCCAGGTTTGTCGAGAACACATACAGCACTCGCTGCATTTAAAAAATGATAGGGTATTGCCTGGTGGTTAGGGAACGATATAAAATAAATTAAATTAAAGATCCTAGTTATCTAAACTGGCTTAAAAAAGACTAGAGGCTAAATGTAGCAAAGTATTCCTCAAGGTTATGACGATAAGCTGTCATCTTGGTTATGCAGATACACTGCATTGTGTCATACCAAACCAACCCAAACTTAACAACCCAAACCAACCGACCCCACCCCATTGTCACAATCCAGCCTGCCCTTAGATTTATTATACCTTTATTGCTAGTTAAATTAAGTATAATTTACTTAATTATTAAATAAAAAAACTCACTTACCATTTTGATTTTTTAGAAAAGATATTGTCGATTTTAGAACAGTTGATTTGTCCATTTTTCTTCCGCCTGTTGACACCATTGAACTTAATTCGTTGACAAGCAAATTAAATTGATCCCTTCGTTTTTTTTCGCTTAAATTCCGAGATTTTCTAAAATAAATGTTTGTAAAACAATACCTTTTGGATCATTTTAACAAACCTTTTTGAATCTTTGTCGTCGGAATCATCGTCCATAGTATCACTGTAACAAATATTAATTAAGTTATACATTTTACTTGCTTGTTTTTAGAGTAAAAAAATAATTTAAGATTGCGAATTTAAAGGTCTTTTTGGTATTAAAAGGACCAACTGCTTGAAATATTATAAACCCTCTTTTTAAATCTTTTTTATTTTTAATAAATAAACATTTTTTAAAAGTCCTATGGTTCTGTTAATATCAAAATAACCTCCAACCATGGAAAATTAATTTAAAATTTACTTTTCAATTAGATTATGATATAATCAATAAGTAATTATAAATTAGATAATCAAATGTAAATGTTGTGTCCTGTACTAAATTTTATCATATTAATCAATATCTTTGCGATTAAGAATCTATGTTATAATCAGCTTTCTAAGTTTTACATCTCTAAATATTGGCTTTATCATTGGGAACAAAGCATTTTATTATTTAAATAAAATAGCTTGCGTTTGAATTTATTTCTCGGCATAAATTTGACGTTATCAAAACGTCGCGACGGCAAGGTAAGTATTGCTCTTATATTTGTTTATAACTTTCTTAATTGATTAAATTTTTGGGATTTTTTGTAGCAATTGTGTTTAATATTGGCCATTTTACCTTTTAAGTAAAAAAAATATAATATTTAAATATTAAGGGTGTTTTAAATTTAATTCTTTTTTATTTCGTTTTCAGATAATGGGTATAATTCCAGAAAACGACTAATAAAATATCAATGTTGATATTATCTCACATAATAACCATGTACCAAAACACATGAACACAATGAAGAAATCAGATTTTTTTTACAAATAAAATTGTGTAATATACTGTTGATTAGGGTGGTCCCTAATAAGGTTATTTTCAAATTTATTTGCTCCCAGGGGCTCAAATAGTTCCAAATTGATAAAAAAAATTCCCTGAAAATTTGAGCTCTTAATATTAACTCTAAGATAGTGCGCATTCCAATCTAAGTTTCCTATGGAAATAACATAGGAAAAATTACTTTTGTTGTTTATAATTTTATAACTTGGGAACGAATAAATTATAAATCATACATATTTTTATAGAGAATTTAACGCTCTACAAAAAAGGTCTCCTATAATTTTTTCATTAGTCTATTGGTTTAAAAGTTACTCAACGCCAAAGTTTTTTTCATATTATTTTATTATTATCATTTTCATATTATTATTAATATTATCAAGGCTTTTTTATGAGGCGCCGTTTGTGTCAAAATTAAAAGTGCTAAATAAACTTATTTTGTTTTATAAATAATTAATTATATGCTTTACCAAATAATTTTTATATAAAATTATTTTTTTATAAAATTATTTTTAAAAAAAGAATTATTTTATACGAAAGCGTACTGGGGTCACAAAATTATAATAAAATTATTTTTTTCAATATATTGGATTTATTTCCAATATATTGAAAATAAATTTAATATATTGGAAATAAATCCAATATATTGAAAATAAATCCAATAAATTGGAAATAAATTCAATATATTGAAAATAAATTCAATATATTGGAAATAAATCCAATATATTGAAAATAAATCCAATATATTGTAAATAAATCCAATATATTGAAAATAAATTCAATATATTGAAAATTTGGCTTTCTTTTTTTACTACTAGGGGGCCCCTAGTAGGGGCGCTAATTTCCATTTTATCGCCGTTACTGTCAAAGGCACCGTTACTGTCAAATTGTATTTCAGTTGACAGCACATTTTTTTGGTTTGTTTTAAACTACTAAACTAAAATAAAAATTAATAAATATGAATGAAGAAAATGCTTGCAAGAATTGTGACCGGTCATTTTCTAATAGATATGTGAAATTTAAGAAGATATATAAATAAAGTGAGTTCATATTTTAAATCTTAACTTTGATGCTTAAATTTAATTTACGTTCCAAACAAACCAAGAAAATGTGCTGTCAACTGACAGTAACGGTAGTACCATTACCAGCAGCGATAAAATGGAAATTAGTGCCCCCAGTAGTAAAAAAAGAAAGCCAAATTTTCAATATATTGAATTTATTTTCAATATATTGGATTTATTTCCAATATATTAAATTTATTTTCAATATATTGAATTTATTTCCAATATATTGGATCTATTTTCAATATATTGGAAATAAATCCAATATATTGAAAAAAAAAATTTTATTATTATTTTGTGACCCCAGTACGCTTTCGTACATTTTTTACAAAAAAAAATTATATAAAATTATTTTATAAAAAATTATTTTATAAAAAATTATTTTATAAAATTTTTTACAAAAAAAAAATTATAAAAAAATAATTTTATAAAAAAATTATTTATAAAACAAAATAAGTTTATTTAGCACTTTTAATTTTGACACAAACGGCGCCTCATAAAAAAAGCCTTGATAATATTAATAATAATATGAAAATTAAACTTTGGCGTTGAATAACTTTTAAACCAATAGACTAATGATTAAATTATAAGAAACCTTTTTTGTAGAGCGTTAAATTCTCTATAAAAATATGTATGATTTATAATTTATAAACAACAAAAGTAATTTTTCCTATGTTATTTCCATTGGAAACTTAGAGTTAATATTAAGAGCTCAAATTTTCAGGGTATTTTTTTAATTAATTTGGAAGCATTTGAGCCCCTGGGAGCAAACAAATTTGAAAATAACCTTATTAAGGACCACCCTACTGTTGATGCGTCTTATTGGAACACCCTTTAGATACTTAAAAATATACGATATTAAAAAAAAACAAATTTTCAGTTAAGACAAAATAATCATTTTAAAAGGACTAAAAAAAGACTGACTCTCTACACACTTTTTACTTGTCAAATGTTAACTAAATATTTGCCATGTTTTTAAACATTTTTGTGAGTTTGCTAAATGTTGAATTACGGTAAAAAAAATGTCTCATAAGAACAGCTTAGAAAACTTTGCAGTTCAGTTATTAAACTTCTGTGATACCGCATTATATAATCGTGTATTCGTTATCACAAGGGAAATTTAAAAAAAGAGATTGTGGTGGCAAAAATAATTGTTTCATAGTAGACCTAGCAGACCTAAAATTGACGATCCTAGCAAATCCAGAAATTTTAAAAGAATTTCGTTTAGTGGTTTTCATTATCTTGCCAATTTGATTGTAAAAATTAACTGTTTTCAGTCAGCGACTTTTAAGTCAGTCGTTATCAAATTGATAATATCAACGAGAAAAAATCCTTATCAATAAAAAATTTCTCTTAGCGACGCCTTACGCATGACTACCCTTGACGTTAATTCGACCTAAGCAGTTAATTCGTATGCGATTTTTAATTTTAAAAAATCAGTGGTTCACCCCTCGATTAAACAATGCTTAGTGAAACGCAACTTTACAGGTTTCAAATAGCAATACTAATAATAATAACAATAATTGCTTAGAGAAATTCATGTAACGACATTTAACGTTAAATTAACTCAAATAATTGTCTTTATATCTTAAATCTTAATTAAATTTGCAATTAATATGTCCTATTCTAAACATTTCATGAATATTTCATATTTATATCATTATAATTATAGTTTGTCTATGCTCCAGTGACAATAATCTGATAAGTAAATGTTATGTACCCAAGTATAATTTAAACGTTTGCAAAACAAGACTATAGTCCATGGGCGCCGCTACATAGGGGCAGGGGGGGGCCCGGCCCCCCCCCTGGAAATTCATACTCAGAAATTCCGGTACTCCATAATTTGACGGTAAGTGCTGATCGTTATCATTTGTTCATTATTTTTTAGATAAATTAGATTTGTTATCTTAGATAATTTAACTTAGATTTGTGCCGTCTTAATGAGCACTAGTGTTGTTACAGTTGTAAAATGAATGAAATGGCTGGCTGTTCAAAGAAATCAGAAGCACAGTTTACTGATTTCGTTCATAATCCTATGGCGAAGAAACCAGAAGCCACAGATCCCCGGACAACATTCGTGATATTCATACCAACATCATGTCGTGATTTTCACAAGTTTTATTCTTACTGATATCATACGGAAGTCACCGCGTGATAAATGAAAATACGAACGTCACGTCGTGATTTCCACAAATTTTATTCATACGGACATCATCCGGATGTCACTGCGTGAGAAATGAAAATCATGTCGTGATTTTTATGCCATCGCTGTTTGCGATTGACCGATGGCCTAAAAATCATGTCGTGATTTTTTATGCCAACGGTGTTTGGATAATCATTTTTGCGCCACGTTCGTACACTAAGAGAAGAATTATGTTGAATCAACAGTTTTTCCGGTTAAAAACATTAAATATTTTCTTGGATTTAAATTAACTATATTATAGTTAATTTAAATCTAAGAAAATATTGAATGTATTTAACTACAAAAACTGTTGATTCAATATATATGTAGGTATACTTTTTCTCTCAATGTACGAATGTGGCGCAAAAATAAATATCCAAACACCGATGGCATAAAAAATTACGACATGATTTTTTATGCCATCGGAGTTTGGATATTCATTTTTGCGACACATTCGTACATTGAAAGAAAAAGTATGTTAACAATTGAATCAACAGTTTAACATTCAATATTTTATTGGATTTAAATTAATTATATGTAGTTAATTTAAATCCAAGAAAATATTAAATGTATTTAACCGCAAAAACTGTTGATTCAACATAATTTTTCTCTTAGTGTACGAACGTGGCGCAAAAATGATTATCCAAACACCGTTGGCATAAAAAATCACGACATGATTTTCATTTCTCACGCAGTGACATCCGGATGATGTCCGTATGAACAAAATTTGTGAAAATCACGACGTGACGTTCGTATGATTTTCATTTATTATGCGGTGACTTCCGTATGATATCAGTATGAATAAAATTTGTGAAAATCACGACGTGATGTTCGTATGAATATCACGAATGTTGTCCGGGTAGGTTTTAAATTCGCATTTTGCAGGTCTAAAACGCATGCGCAAATTTTGCAAATATCACACCGTGAGTTCTACATGATATCACTGTGATGAAGCATGT